TCATAGAAAGTGGCTGTCAGACAGATCTGAGCAAAGGTACGCCACATTCAAAGCGGCGAGAAGGGAGGCCACTACCTGTAACCGGAAGCTGAAAGAAGCGTACTACAGTTCAAAATTTCAGCTTGCGACTTGTGATGTAAAACAAACCTGGCGAATTATCAACCAGTTGACGGGGAAACAAAGAAAATCGGCACCGCTCCAGTGCTCAGCTGAGGCAATTCGAAGTGCTTTCGCCAAGATCGTGGAAGATCCCAGCCGCCCAGTTCATCTTCACCTACCCCAAGGGCCACGAACGGCAACTAGTTTTGTGGAATTTGTTCCTGTATCTATTGCAAAAGTCCGGAAGCTTCTAGAGCAACAGAATCCGATGAAGGCAACTGGCAGTGACGGCATCCCTGCAGCCCTTCTTCGAGCTCATGCAGATGTTCTTGCGCCGTCATTGGCCGTACTGTTCAACAAATCCATGAGGAAGGGACATTTCCCAGCTCCTATGAAGGTGGCCAGCATTTCACCTCTGTTTAAAGGTGGTGATCCCAGCATAGCAAAGAATCACAGACCCGTGTCTCTAATGTCGATAGTTTCAAAGCTTTTGGAGCCAGTCATCCATGATCAGCTCACTCAGTACTTGTGCCGACATGATCTATTTCCACCAACTCAGTTCGGCTATCGTTCACATCATTCCACATGTGATGCCCTTGTATTAGCCGTTGAGGGCATATGCCAAGCCCACACAAAAAAGTACTTCACGGGGATTGCTTTCGTAGATATGTCAAAAGCATTTGATAAGGTGAAGCACCAAACCCTTATTCAGGACCTATTCGAGGTCGGAATTGGTGGAACGGTGCTGCAATGGCTTGCAGACTACCTCTCAGATCGGACACAGTATGTCAAAGTCGGTCAGGTACAGAGCTCACCATACACCAGCTTCTCCGGAGTACCACAGGGGTCAGTTCTCGGGCCCCTGTTGTTTGTTCTCTATGTCCGTGACATTGCGAAAGAGCTGTCCCCTTACAACGTTGCGACCCTGCAGTTTGCGGACGATATCTCAATTAGATCCAGCGGCATGAGCACGAATGAGGTGTCCCAAAATCTCTCAAGTGCTGTCCAGCACCTCGCCGATTGGCTTAGGAACCGCGGTCTCATCTTGAATGAAACGAAGACGCAGATCATGTCGATATCGCCAGTACGATCTCAAACATTTGACTTGCAAGTGCAATGTAATGGACTGCCTCTGCCAACTGTTCGCACTGCGAAATATTTAGGTCTCCACTTTTATGCGGACATGAGCTGGAACACCATGGTCGACCACGTCGCACGGGGTGCCGCGTCGAAAGTTGGCGTGCTCAGACGATACGCTACGTTCCTGCCTTTTCAATGTCGCATAGCCTATTTTCGTTCTTTCATTTTATCACACTTTATGTATGCCGCTTCTGCTTACTTACCATTTCTCACGGCGTATCAAAGTAGACGGCTTAATGGGCTCTTCAAGCGTGCTGTACGCACAGTCTGTCGGGTACCTCCCGGGACACCCACAAGAAATATTCTTACGCGCATGAACATCCAAACATTGACCACATACGCCAACATGCACCTTCTGGTTTTTATCTGGCGTTGTCTCCATGACTCCTCTAACATCAGCATGTTGTTCGCTAACTTTTTCAGCCGCAGTAATTCCACTCAAACTCGTGGTGGGCACAGCAATTTACTGATTGTCCCAGCCAGCCCAACTGCATATCTTGCCAAACGTGTTACCTATGCTGGGACCATCTTATGGAACCAGCTCCCCGCTGCGGTCAGGCAAGAAAGAAAACGCAATCGCTTTAAGTCAATGGCCCTTGCCTTTTTGCTTACCAGATAAATAAGCCTTTTTACAAATGCTGTATGCACTGCTCTTTACGTTATTTTCTCCCTATGCAAGTCGCAACTCCTGTTTTGAGTCGTTTTTCTTCTCTCTTTTTCTTTCCCAACTAGTTGCTGTTACACTCACTGATACTTATGCACAGATATACAGCATTCCCTCACTAGTGGGACCATTGTTATTAGGCTAGGGCCTGTTTTGGACTTCCCACTCTAAATAAAGTATACAAACAAACAACCTAAAAAAGAAGAAGATTAAAAGTTCCAGCACGAAACTACCAAGTCCGACTTGTACAAGCTAGCGGTGCTCGAGTCTCTCAAGTATCGGTGGCAATTCATGTGTTTGGTTACGCTGCATCAGTTTATCTTCCACCACCCTAGTTACGTCTCACAATTTAGTTTCAGTGTTTCTAAAAGTGCTCGGTGTCCTAACAAAATCATATTATCTTAATACAAATTGTTATCAAAGTCTATGTTCCTATTTAGAACTTCTGTACTTTGGAACTGTCTCCCACCGAAGATGACCGCTGCAGACTCCCTGCAGGAATTTAAGAAGAGTTTACGTCTACACAATTAATTGGGAACTCGTGGCCTGGCAGGAGGAAAACATGGATGCAGTGAATGGGATGTTTGGTCTTTGACCACTTGCTGTCGAGCTGATCTACTCATCTCCCACAACTTTTGGAGCTGCATCTGTGCCTTAATCCTTGAAGGGTGGTGGCGTTCCTACGGATGCTGAAAACCCGGCTTCCAGCCGAGTCCCATGCGAACCGTGATTTTTTTAAAATATTTTTTACGTCTATATACACACGAGTATGCCCATAGAACCACTGGCATTCCTACATCTCAGCAGTAATTGCACATCACACTTTTCTTTGAAGTTTTATTGTCTCATTTCATGTGTCTGGCTAATTTATTCTACCCCCCCCCCCCCCCCTGTTATGCTGCCTATTCAATATCGGACAAGTGGAGAACCCCTCGATTGGCTACCTGCCTCTGGGTCATCTCTCAAATAAAGATAATAATAAAAATAATCATAATCAATTACAGTGACCACATACTGTACAGGCACCGCAGTACCGGTACATGTATGTTGGCCATTGAATGTTACTACATTGTATCGCACGCCACGTGACCACTGCCCCTTTTACAGTCAATATACGCAAACCTCCTCTTAGATCTCAATATTCGCTCGCTATTACACGATGCTGCCCGCTTTATAGACTTAGAAATAGTACTGTTACTGTCAAGTATTAAATATTAACAGAACAGAAAAAAACGTGTGAGGTGGGTGGTGAGGGGAAATTGTTGACGGAAATAGTCGAGGTGAACGTTTCAGAAGGTGATGGGTAGGCATTCTACTCTACCTGTTACGCTGTGGCACTGTTGCTGTACAATGATGCCGGACGTCACACTGGCAGATATCGGACGACAATGTACTCATACCCGGTCAATATTACATACCTGCACTCACCCCTGCGCTTCTTAGGATTTGCCAGATTGTACTTGATGAGGAAGCACGAAAGCTGGTTTATCACTCAGGTGTACAGTCCTGGTGTGGAGCTTGACATTTCTGTTTTCTTTCTTGTATTTACAGAGAAATTTATCCTCGTGCCTCGTACTGCTCTTTTCTCTCCGAAACTCAACACTTGCAAGCCAGATACGAAAGAAAGACAAAAGAATGACAAATCATCAGTCACACCACCGGGACTCGAACCAGGGGCCTTGCTATTTGCGAGCAATGCCCTAACCAACTGAGCTACAGTATGATCCACAGTGATGGCAAATCTATCCTTCTTCGATCAGTATGGTGCAAGCCAGATTCGGAGAGAAAAGAGCAGTACGAGCAATGTGGCCTCAATTTCCTAAAACTTTGAAATTCTCGGGATGCAGATGAAGTTGCATGGATGCAGTGAATGGGATTTTCGCTCTTTGACCACTTGCTGGTGAGCTGATCTACTCACCTCCCATCGCTTTAGGAGCTGCATCTGCACCTTGATCCTTTAATGGTGGTGGTGTTCCTACGGATGCGGAAAACTCGGCCTCTAGCCGAATCTGACGCGAACAGTGGATTTGTTTTGAAATTTTTCGTGAAGTCAAAATATGAAATTGAAATTCATTCCCAGCATAGAAAAGACACCAGAAACGAAAAGAAGAGAAACCCTAAAACTACCTACTGGGACTAGAGCGCAAACGGTAAGATTTTCCGCGAGAGAACTTGGGAGAGATGCTACATGACCTTGTGGCAACAGAAAATGTCTATAAATAATATGGAAAAGCAATGTTCTGGGTACACAGCATATGTACACGCCGCTATTGAGACAAACAAAATAATGACAGCAATGCAATACAGAAGGAATGTAATTGGACGAGTAGATCAAAATATAGAAAAAGCTGTAGAGTCCTATTAACTGGATCTACCACCAATGTAGTTAAGGGTCTTCCCTCATTATTGAGGCATCAAAATAAAAAATGGAAAACAGCACCTCTTCCATTGTAGCTGCAAGTTCTGTTACAATATACTATTGTACATCTTTCAAAGACATAACAAGGAGAGAGGGGGGGGGGAGGGATAACATAATGATTGTTATATCCCAGGGATTATCTGCTGACAAGGGTTGGGGCATGTGTCTTTGTGTACATAAATATAGCGTATAATAACGTCTGGATATTAAAATAATAATACTCATTATAAGATAAACAATTTGAAACCCTACGGGTTTATCTACTACGAGGCAGACCTGTACATGGCTTCAGTAGGAGACCTGCTCCTGAGAGAGTTTCGCCCTTTCATGAGCTATCACGCCATTGATGCAATGCTTTGTAACTTCCCGACCAGGACTAGAAAGTAGTCAGAGAGGAGTGGAAGATTATTAGGTATGTAACTGAGATCTCCATTGCTCACAGGGAGTAATGGCTTCGGTAGGAGACCAGCTCCTTGGAGGAAATTACCCGTTCATTAACTGTTGCGCCATTGATATGGTGTTTCTTAGTAACTGTTGCACCATTGATATGGTGTTTCTTAGTAACTGTTGCACCATTGATATGGTGTTTCTTAGTAACTGTTGCGCCATTGATATGGTGTTTCTTAGTAACTGTTGCACCATTGATATGGTGTTTCTTAGTAACTGTTGCGCCATTGATATGGTGTTTCTTAGTAACTGTTGCGCCATTGATATGGTGTTTCTTAGTAACTGTTGCGCCATTGATATGGTGTTTCTTAGTAACTGTTGCGCCATTGATATGGTGTTTCTTAGTAACTGTTGCGCCATTGATATGGTGTTTCTTAGTAACTGTTGCGCCATTGATATGGTGTTTCTTAGTAACTGTTGCGCCATTGATATGGTGTTTCTTAGTAACTGTTGCGCCATTGATATGGTGTTTCTTAGTAACTGTTGCGCCATTGATATGGTGTTTCTTAGTAACTGTTGCGCCATTGATATGGTGTTTCTTAGTAACTGTTGCGCCATTGATATGGTGTTTCTTAGTAACTGTTGCGCCATTGATATGGTGTTTCTTAGTAACTGTTGCACCATTGATATGGTGCCTCTCTTCTTAGTTGCCAAACTAGGACTTTAAAGCACGCCCACAGAACCGGAAGATGAAGTAATCAGCTTAGGTCTTTTGTTTCATATAGTGGCTTCATTGGGAGACCAGCTCCTGAGTAAAAGTTTGCCGAAAATTTCTGGGGCTGCACTGCCATCTGTTGAGGGGCTCACTGGACGCCCTTTGCTCCATTGCTAGTGGGTACCGCCATAGATTATTCATTTCCTCTCGGAAAGCTCTACGTACAACCCATCTGGTTTTCTCCTGGCCTTTTCGTATCCCTGTTTGGATTTTGGTTCACTGGTACCTGTCGAGGCAAGGGCATCAATTCTCCCCACAGTGTTCTTTGTTTTGCTACTGCTATTGGTATTCGACAAGGTCGTCTGCTTGCGAGTCTGAGCAAAGCTGTCGTTACCAATTAGTCCATATGCAGAATCAAGACCTGCAGTGGCGACATAGGCATGACTATCACTGACTGGCTTGGAATGACGGGTGCCTTTGCCCGTGGTAGAAGGTCGGCTACTGCCTTCCATTCGTGACCTGTACAGGGCATCACCAGTTTCCATGTATGCTTGGCCGTCATTGCCCCCATTGGAAACGCTCATGGCGGTGGCAGTAGTACCAGTGGAAACCGGGCGACAGTAATCTATTCCCGATTCGTACTTACAATCTTTTGGCGCCATGTACGCATGGCCACCTTTTGCTCCAGTAGGTTTGCTTCGTTTCTTGGCCGTTACCTCAGCAGACGAGTGAATATCCAACGAGCGTAAATAATCCCCATCAGTTCTCACGTTTGGCTTCTGTTGACCTTTGCCGGCGCGTGTGAGTCTAGGATGACTTGTTGACCCCCCATCCGAGCCAGCATTGCCAATTGTAGTAATATGACTGAGAGAGGTTGAGGGAGATAGCTCGTTTCCATACAGGTCACCATCGCTGGCAGCAGACACACCTTGCGACCCTGCAACCCACATGTTTGAGTCGTCATCTCTTCTTTTCCGAACCGGCGCACTTTTGCGGTGTTTTTTTTCTGGCGAGGCAGAACGCGAATCAGTGGGCGATACGCTGTTTCCATAGAGATAGTCACTACCCCAACGAGATGCATTCCAGCTAACGTCAAGGCCGAAGGCAGAGTCGGGAGCAAGTCCATGATGCTCAGGCGGAGACATGCTGTTACCGTATGGATAATTATCATCTCCTGTGACTTCATTGGAGTAGCCTGCATGTCTCTTCTGGACCGATGGCTTTTCATATTTTCCTCCTGTGCATAGGTCACCATGTGACGAACTTTTAGAGACTCTGTTCCCGTTAAATTCACCGCTGGTCTGACCGCGTGCTTCGGGAAACACATCATTGTACCATGTGGAATCCATTCCATGTTTTGCCTCCACATAACTGCCTTCGTAAATTCCGGCAATACCTGCATTGCGCGATCCCTTTGCCTCATGGTACAGTTGGGAGTCTGCCAAGATGTATTCATCCTCTGATTGTGCACCTGCCACTGCAACATACTTTGCAGACTGATACTTCAAGTCATTGTAAATTTCCATTTCGCCATCTAGACGTTGCCCTGCGCCGTTATAGTACTGCGCCTTGCCATCTGCTGCAGTTGAGTGTGTAGCGTTGGCCTTCCCGTTCTGGTTCTGGTACGACACAGATGCAGATTTGTTCAGCTTACTGTCTTGTTTAGTCATACCTGGCTTGTCCTCTCCGCCTACTTCGGTCAGCATCGTTGTCACACTGGAAGTTGACTCACGTTTCCGGCGAGCCATTGCTCCTGCGCCAGCTGCATAGGAAGACAACAGCAGATTTCCGTGATATCGGCGCACATAATTATTATATGAACGTGAAATGGAGCGTAACCCAACACTGAGGCGAAAAGTGAGACAACAGATGACATACACAGTGGTTTTGGCTTTAAAGGTGATGGTCAGTGCGTAAGCAAGTGTTATCTGTTACACATGTGAGTTGGAAGGAAACAAGTGGGAAAGATTAGTTTTGCTTATGTATACCCGGCAATCTACGTTACTGCACACTGGCCGGCAAATTATGATATTCTGATTTTCTTTAAGAGGTAGTTATTTAGAGATGCCACACACCCCTACTTCCTCTGCTTCATTACAATTGTTGCTTCGCAAATCGCAATGCTTGTGACTTGCTTGTCTTATTCGGACTGTCTGAATCGCTGTTTTCTGAGTTCGAGCAATGGTACGACCCTTCCTACGCAATGCATACTTGTTATGGAAGCTGTGGTGGTCTTGCAGCTCTCTTCTGCACCAAACAAATTCATCGTGCTCCGCACTATTTTGCCCCAGACTGGGCATATTTTTTCGGGAGTTCGTGCTGGCCCACATCGTTGGCGTGGGCATTTGTCAGAACTGCAAACTCGGGTATAAGAATATGCGTATCTATCCTGAATTCGAAATGTTCAAGTTGACGATGGCAAGAACAAAGTGTTCTCAAATCCCTAAAAACGGCTACGTTTGGCGCATGTTGCTGAGAAGGTAGCAGGTCTGAAAACACCAACAAAACCAGCGATGCACTCGTCAAGGAAAGGAAGAAGGTGCGGAGCTGCTTACCCTATCCCGCTGGAAGGTCAGCACAGTCTACCTAAAAAATGCTAGTTTGCCGTCATTGCATGTCACCTGGAGACATGGATCGCTTGAAAACGAAGTTTCTAGACCTAAATTTGAATGCTCGTCTTGCTCAGCGTATTGTTGAGTGCTGAAGGGTCTGCCTCAAATCTATGGTGAAGATTTTGACCTTGGCCGAATATGCAGCAATGTCACAGGCTCGAGCTTAGTCCGTCGACAATGCTCTGCCTCACTTTCTAGCTCATTTCTTTGATTCGAGTGGACAAAATAAAGAGGGCTCGAACGGCGGTTTATCGGTTATAACCTGTAAGTCACATCAGTCCAGCAATTAGCTAGTTTGAACAGTGTAGTGCAGTATACTTGTTCGAGAATGTACCGTGTGGAATTACTACTAAATACATGCCCATGTCTGCATGCCCACTCACGCATATTCACAGACCAGAAGCATTAAAGATGGCAGGGAGTTGATTCAAATTGTCGCGGATTGTACTATGTAGTGTACATTTATGCATGTGTATGTACACGATAGGTTGTAAAACCTTTTGGTTAATTAATCGGACTAACTGTTTGAGCCCTAAAAATAAATTTGAAAAAATCGATCTGGGTAGCGACAACACCAACACATACAACTTCATATCTGCACAGTATGGTTCATGTGTGCAGGAACAGCCTACTACTACTACTACTACTACTACTACTACTACTACTACTACTACTACTACTACTACTACTACTACTACTACTACTACTACTACTACTACTACTACTACTACTACTACTACTACTACTACTACTACTACTACTACTACTACTACTACTACTGGTGGCATGTCACAGCCCGCTGGTGGATCGAAGCCATGCTGTGTGTGCAGCAAGTCGACTGGGAGCTGCCGTGGCTGCTCGTGTGCTGTGTCGGCCAGGGCCTGCGGGAGCTGCTACCCTGGTCGCGCGGGTAGGTGCCGCAATTTTGGTAATGCTCAGCTGGTTCCGATTGTGCCGGTTGCAGATCCGAATCCAGCATTCCATTCGGATAGATCTCCTGAGAGGCCAGGCTTTTTGGGCAGGCGGCGCCGCTCGTCACCTGGCGCTGTCGGAAGGGGCAGGAGTCATGCTCGGGATGGGTCGGCCTCCAGGTCTCCGGTGGCTCGTGTACCGGGACGCATTGCGGCGATGAATGTCCCCAGCCGTGATTCCAGGGATCCCAGTTCGAGGGATGACAGTGCCCCAGTTTCGGAGCCTGTTCCGCGGCCTGGAGCCCCGGATGTGGCACCGCGCTCTGCTGTTGGATCAGAGCCGGTTTCTAACGCCCCTGGTGCACGTGGTTCTGTGCCGGATCCGGGACCGGATCCTGCTGCTGCTGCTGCTGCTGTTACTACTGAGTCTGTTCTCAGCGCATATGAGGAGGTCATCACGTGGCGTCGGAATCTATTTATTGTGCCACATGGAGCCGTGGGTCGGCGGTTTGTGGCTCTACTGGCTGACCTCATGCACTCGTTTGCTGTTGGTGGTGCAGCGCGCCGGCATGCCTGGGCGGCTGTGGTCGTGGCTTCCCAGTTGCTCCTACAGAAGCCATGTGCTACCCAGTACGGGGCTTCGGCACCGCACCTTGATCGGCGTCTCGGCCTATGGGAATCTGGGCGGATTGGTGAGCTGCTGCGCGAGGGACGGTGCCTCCAGGCACATTTGCCCCCTCTTCGGGACTCTGGGCCTCGGGAGGCAGATGGGCAAATTGATGATATGAGATTCAGCAAGCTGGTCTTCTCCGGCAGAATACAATCGGCCATTCGTCTCGCCTCATCAGCCTCGTCCGGTGGGGTATTGGCGATGGATGAGGTCATGGACGCCGACACTGGGAAGACCGTGAGAGATGCACTTCTCGAAAAGTACCCATTACCTGCTAGCCCTGACCCGAGCGTTCTGGTGGATGCGGCGGACAGGCCTGAATGTGATCCCATTCTGTTTGAGAGGCTGACACCCGCCTTGATTAAACGCGTCGCTCGCGAGATGTCCGGCTCATCCGGCCCGTCTGGCCTTGACGCAGAGGCTTGGCAGCGAATGCTGACATGCTACGGAGCTTGTTCGGACCGGCTGGCTTCTTCCATGGCGGAGACCGCCAGGCTTCTGTGCAGGGAGGATGTTGACCCGGATTCCTTGGCAGCCTTCACTGCGGCCCGGCTGATTCCGCTCAATAAGAACCCGGGCGTGCGGCCAATCGCAGTGGGTGAGGTGTTCCGTAGGATCGTCTGCAAGGCTGTCGCCCGAGTGATAGAGCCTGACATGCTCATGGTCACGGCTCCTCTGCAGCTGTGCGCGGGTGTCCCATCTGGCTGCGAGGCTGCGGTACATGCCATGGAGCACCTCTTTGAGCAACCAGCGACTGAGGCGATCCTACTGGTAGATGCAGGGAACGCTTTCAACTCGCTGAACCGTGCCGTCGCCATGCATAATGTACCCGTGGTCTGCCCGCCGCTTGGCCAGATCTTCCACAACACCTACCGTTCGCCAAGCCGATTGTTTGTTGCTGGTGGTGGCGAAGTGCTGTCGCGCGAGGGTACCTGTCAGGGCGATCCCTTGGCGATGGGAATATACGCTGTGGCCATAACGCCTCTCATACGCCGCTTGGGAGAGCTCTGCCCCGATATCGTGCAGGAGTGGTACGCTGACGACGATTCCGCCGCTGGCCGTGTCCGGTCTCTGTTGCGCTATTGGAACAGTGTGAAGGAGCTTGGCCCGGCCTACGGATATACCCCTAACCCAACAAAAACGGTGCTGCTGGTCAAGGAGGAGTGTTTGGAGGAGGCGTCCACCCTGTTCGCCGGCACCGGCATCAAAATCATCACCTCCGGTTGTCGATATCTGGGGGGAGTGCTCGGCACAGGAAGCTTCAAGGCCGCGTACCTTGAGGAGGCGGTATCCGCCTGGTGCAGGCAGGTGGTGAACCTGGTATCTGTGGCCCGTACTCAGCCTCATGCAGTTTACGCCACGCTGCAGGGTGTCTACTCCAAGTGGCGCTACGTGCTCCGAGTGGCATCCTGCCCGCCTGCGTTACTAGAGCGCCTGGATACCCTGGTCAACCGTGACCTGCTACCCCTCCTCTTGGGTCGGGAGGTGCCTGATGAGGCAAGCCTTCGGCGACTCCTCTCAGTGCCCACCCGCCTTGGAGGCCTAAACATCCCGATTCTGGCGGCTGAGGCGGAGCGGGAGTATTCCACTTCTGTTGCGGTGACGGAGCCGCTTGTACGTCTGATGGTCGGTGATGGTTCGGGGAGTGCCGTCCCCGATGGCGAGGAGGTGTCTTTGGCATCGCCTCAGAATCCACCCTTGTCGGTTGCTTCTGCTTCTGCTGCGTCCGTGCCCGATGGCGAGGAGGTGTCTTTGGCATCGCACCGGAATCCACCATTGTCGGTTGCTTCTGCTTCTGCTGCGTCTTCTGCTGCGTCCGTTCGTGATCCTCCTGGACCTGTGACCCGGCCAGAACCTGGGGTCCACACCACCCAGCCGGTTCGTGATAACCCGTCGGTCGCAGCCGTTACCGAGTCCCGCAAGCGAGCGGTCTCACGTCGCAAGGACAAGGAGAAGTCGCAGAAGGTACTAGTCGCGGCGTTGTATCCCGATCTGCCACCGCCTCAGAAATTCCTCACAGATATCGCCGGTGAGAAGGGTGTGTCGTCATGGCTGACGTGTGCCCCGCTTACTGCGCACCGGACAATCCTGAACAAGTCCGACTTTCGAGATGCGGTGTGCATACGCTATGGGTACCTGCCACTGGATGTCCCGTGCAAATGCGCTTGTGGAGCGGACACCACCCTACACCACTCGATGACGTGTCCACATGGGGGGTACCCGATGGCACGTCATGACGAAATCCGGGACACCCTGGCGGCTGTCCTTGGCGATGTCGTGCCAGACGTGGAGGTCGAGCCTAGACTGCTCCCTCTCGATGGCGAGGTGCTCGCCGGCCGGACCGCCAATCGCAGCGCTGAAGCTCGTTTGGACATCAGGGCCGGGGGTTTCTGGACAAGGCAGCAGGACGCTTTCTTTGATGTCAGGGTCACCCACCCTAAAGCGTCCCTGCTGTCGCGTTCGGAAGCCCTTGGCCAACTGCGCACCAACGAGTTGGAGAAGAAGCGAAAATACTGCCAGAGGATCACGGACGTCGAGCGAGGTGCCTTCACTCCGTTGGTGTTTGCTACGAATGGCATGGCTGGGGCAGAGTGTGGAATGTTCCTGAAGCGGCTTGTTCAGCGCGTGGTGGAGAAGCACTCTGACCTACAGTACTCCGTCGTCATGCACCATCTTCGTGCCAAGATTGCCTTCTGCCTCCTCCGCTGGGCCGTAACCTGTCTGCGTGGATGCCGGGGAGCTCGGGGCGTACGCCGTGGCAATTCGTTTGTCACGGAGTGCATGCTGCTCCGGTAGTGGCATGGGGCTGTGTGGCCGATCCTAAACGGATGTTGTGACGTAACGGACATATCTGTTTTTGAGCATGTCTTTGTTTTTTTTTTTTGTTTTTTTGTTTTTTTTGGTTCTACTTTTATAATAGTTTGTTTTGTTTTGTTTATCGGACAGATCGAAATAAGCATTCACACGCAGACAAATTAGACATCCACCACCCTATTGGTTTATGATGTTTTTACACATATACCCCCAATAGGCTATTTATCAGACTCGAGTTTTCAACTTACACATTCCACATTCACCACTCAATCGGCTTTTGGTTTGTTCACACATACGTACCATACGCGATCTATTGGACTTGAGTTTTACCTTGTGTCCTTTTTTGCAGTCAGTTTTCAACTTACACATTCCACATTCACCACTCAATCGGCTTTTGGTTTGTTCACACATACGTACCATACGCGATCTATTGGACTTGAGTTGTACCTTGTTCCTTTTTTGCAGTCAGCAGATTCTTTTGTTGGACATTGTTTATTGAGTTTCTTGTTGCTTTTGGTTTACGCATATGCTCATTGCCCGTAAAACTACTACTACTACTACTACTACTACTACTACTACTACTACTACTACTACTACTACTACTACTACTACTACTACTACTACTACTACTACTACTACTACTACTACTACTACTACTACTACTACTACTACTACTACTACTACTACTACTACTACTACTACTACTACTACTACTACTACTACTACTACTACTACTACTACTACTACTACTACTACTACTACTACTACTACTACTACTACTACTACTACTACTACTACTACTACTACTACTACTACTACTACTACTACTACTACTACTACTACTACTACTACTACTACTACTACTACTACTACTACTACTACTACTACTACTACTACTACTACTACTACTACTACTACTACTACTACTACTACTACTACTACTACTACTACTACTACTACTACTACTACTACTACTACTACTACTACTACTACTACTACTACTACTACTACTACTACTACTACTACTACTACTACTACTACTACTACTACTACTACTACTACTACTACTACTACTACTACTACTACTACTACTACTACTACTACTACTACTACTACTACTACTACTACTACTACTACTACTACTACTACTACTACTACTACTACTACTACTACTACTACTACTACTACTACTACTACTACTACTACTACTACTACTACTACTACTACTACTACTACTACTACTACTACTACTACTACTACTACTACTACTACTACTACTACTACTACTACTACTACTACTACTACTACTACTACTACTACTACTACTACTACTACTACTACTACTACTACTACTACTACTACTACTACTACTACTACTACTACTACTACTACTACTACTACTACTACTACTACTACTACTACTACTACTACTACTACTACTACTACTACTACTACTACTACTACTACTACTACTACTACTACTACTACTACTACTACTACTACTACTACTACTACTACTACTACTACTACTACTACTACTACTACTACTACTACTACTACTACTACTACTACTACTACTACTACTACTACTACTACTACTACTACTACTACTACTACTACTACTACTACTACTACTACTACTACTACTACTACTACTACTACTACTACTACTACTACTACTACTACTACTACTACTACTACTACTACTACTACTACTACTACTACTACTACTACTACTACTACTACTACTACTACTACTACTACTACTACTACTACTACTACTACTACTACTACTACTACTACTACTACTACTACTACTACTACTACTACTACTACTACTACTACTACTACTACTACTACTACTACTACTACTACTACTACTACTACTACTACTACTACTACTACTACTACTACTACTACTACTACTACTACTACTACTACTACTACTACTACTACTACTACTACTACTACTACTACTACTACTACTACTACTACTACTACTACTACTACTACTACTACTACTACTACTACTACTACTACTACTACTACTACTACTACTACTACTACTACTACTACTACTACTACTACTACTACTACTACTACTACTACTACTACTACTACTACTACTACTACTACTACTACTACTACTACTACTACTACTACTACTACTACTACTACTACTACTACTACTACTACTACTACTACTACTACTACTACTACTACTACTACTACTACTACTACTACTACTACTACTACTACTACTACTACTACTACTACTACTACTACTACTACTACTACTACTACTACTACTACTACTACTACTACTACTACTACTACTACTACTACTACTACTACTACTACTACTACTACTACTACTACTACTACTACTACTACTACTACTACTACTACTACTACTACTACTACTACTACTACTACTACTACTACTACTACTACTACTACTACTACTACTACTACTACTACTACTACTACTACTACTACTACTACTACTACTACTACTACTACTACTACTACTACTACTACTACTACTACTACTACTACTACTACTACTACTACTACTACTACTACTACTACTACTACTACTACTACTACTACTACTACTACTACTACTACTACTACTACTACTACTACTACTACTACTACTACTACTACTACTACTACTACTACTACTACTACTACTACTACTACTACTACTACTACTACTACTACTACTACTACTACTACTACTACTACTACTACTACTACTACTACTACTACTACTACTACTACTACTACTACTACTACTACTACTACTACTACTACTACTACTACTACTACTACTACTACTACTACTACTACTACTACTACTACTACTACTACTACTACTACTACTACTACTACTACTACTACTACTACTACTACTACTACTACTACTACTACTACTACTACTACTACTACTACTACTACTACTACTACTACTACTACTACTACTACTACTACTACTACTACTACTACTACTACTACTACTACTACTACTACTACTACTACTACTACTACTACTACTACTACTACTACTACTACTACTACTACTACTACTACTACTACTACTACTACTACTACTACTACTACTACTACTACTACTACTACTACTACTACTACTACTACTACTACTACTACTACTACTACTACTACTACTACTACTACTACTACTACTACTACTACTACTACTACTACTACTACTACTACTACTACTACTACTACTACTACTACTACTACTACTACTACTACTACTACTACTACTACTACTACTACTACTACTACTACTACTACTACTACTACTACTACTACTACTACTACTACTACTACTACTACTACTACTACTACTACTACTACTACTACTACTACTACTACTACTACTACTACTACTACTACTACTACTACTACTACTACTACTACTACTACTACTACTACTACTACTACTACTACTACTACTACTACTACTACTACTACTACTACTACTACTACTACTACTACTACTACTACTACTACTACTACTACTACTACTACTACTACTACTACTACTACTACTACTACTACTACTACTACTACTACATTGCACAGCAGATAGGCATCAGGACTACTCACACTTCTTGATGTTCAAGCTATCCGCATGCTGGTGCTGACGCGACTTGATCAGGAAGGCGATGACTATAAATCCAAGAAGAAGACTGCTAGAAGACACAGATATCGCTATGACGTATGTACTGGTGAGTGGGGAAGCTGCTTCTTCTGGACCAAGACAAAAACAACAACAGCAATGGGCTGCTTGTTAGAGGTGCAGAAAAAAGCAGTAGAAAAGTACAGTAGCCTAGTGCTTCCTGATACATTTTTTAGTAGTTTCTGTAGAAAAGAGAATTAATTCTATTTCTAAGTTAGAGAAGCAAATTAAGCATAATGGGTTTCTAATATCTACCCTGGCCTGCTGATTGAAGAGAGTGGTTTTCTTTGACATTGTCAAGTTCCATGCATTCCATCGACATAGTAGACAATGCTCTGGTTTGAAAAAGTTGTCCGCTTTGGCCTAGCTAGCATCACCTTAATCCACATGGGTCTCTCAGAATGTGTGTGCATGTGAGTGAGGGGGGTGGGCAACATGAAACATGGCCTGAAAAATGGCAGCTCTTCTCTTTCAGGTCAGTTTCAGAATTCAGTTTGTGATAGCAAATGGCTGGCTGGAGCTGAGCATTTGGTGGGCCTCACAACGCGAGCTAGTTACTAGCTCCGTGTACATATCACTGAGCTAGTTATGAGCTCCATGTACATTATCATGGAGCTAGTTATGAGCTCCATGTACATATCATTGCCTTGGACAGAAGTTTACGTGGAGAACTGTAGACCGAAGTTTGCCATGGAATTTGACGATGCGTGATTTTCTCCACGTAGACTGATTTTCAAGTCACGAATAGATTTGTCTCACACACCTAAACGGCAAACGCCAGGATCTTCTTGCTGTCGTTTGCACCGTGATGGTTTGTGGCTATCCAGTAAAAATACCAAAAAAACAATTGTGTGTCGCTCCTGATGTGGGTGCCCATATCAGGAGCACCCACATCTCACCTGACTCAAGTTGGCAGGAAAAGCACGCACTCCCTCGCAGGGAGCGACACACAATTCCCTAAGTATCGCCGGAGTCGCAACAACCTCTTCTTCACAATAAAAAAACACAGCACACAAAATCACACTCACCAATCATGCAAGTTGCGTCACCTTGCCACCTTCCCTGATCATTTTGAATTGAGCAAGTGTATACATCTGTGTAGTTAGTTCCTTTGATCAGATAGTACCCAAGGGCACAGGCAATAACAATACGGTCACCCAACTTGCCAAGTGTGTCGATTGAAGCAATGGTGTCGGCAAGATTCGGAAGGGAGAAGGGTCCACAGAATTTGGATTCCACTGGAAAAGGAGGTTGGACATACATAGGCAGGACAAAGTGATTTTCTTAAACAGCATTGTAGGGCGTGCAATAAATCACATGGTTGTCTGGGGTGCAGCTGGTGAGTCAGCGTTAACTTCTAGCCATGTTTTATACCCGTGGTGCAGGGCTAGGAGATTTTTGTAATTTACTAGCAAGGAAACCTACTTATAGGTCCTTTTCTCTTTACATGAAAGCTAGATTGTACATGTACATGCTTGGACAAAGAAGAGGACCAAAGCGTTCTTGCAGCGACTCTGAGTTTGACAAGTGGCCAATACTGGCCAGAGTGATGTACACCTAAAGCTTGTAAACTCAAATAACAAAAACAAAAAAGTGATTCTATCACAACATTCGTGGCCACAATTTTCACAGTTTGCGCAGAGACTCCACTTGACCGAGCTTTTCACCTCACCAGGAACGCCACCACCATCAAGGATGAAGGCATGAAGGCACTAATGCAGCTTCTACAGTGGTGGGAGGTGAGTAGATTCGGCGTGCCAGTAAATTCTGGAAAAACAAAAAAATTGGAAAATGCTTGGTTCTTGAGATTCTGCTGACTTACATGTGCAATGTGTGCCGTTTCCCTGATAAGCAATGTTACATTCGCATTTGTATGAACCCACTGAGTTGGTGCATGTAGCATTACCATCACACCGATGTTCTCCACTGTTACATTCATTAACATCTGAAAAAGCAGAAAAAATGGTGCACATGCTCGTTTTCCAATTAACAGCACTTAAAGGCATTAAAAAAAGAATTAATCATGAAGTTGGTTGCTCCAACGAGGAGCACACGCTTCTTGCCGAACTTGACACTTGACTGACTCACGACTGCCATCCGGAGCACACGAGGAGCACGTCGAACCTTCCGCTCGGCAAACCTGAAAGAAAGCACCACTCCCTGCTCAATACACAGTGTTTCGGGGAATTCACCCCTCATCAGTTGAGCTTGAGTAGGCTGAGGAAGATTGTGCCTGAAAAGCACTACTTATATACTGCTTTCCAGGCCAAACCATCACCAGGGATACAAACTTACAGAGACGCTTTGTTTCCAGCGCGACAAACACCTCGTGAAGCCCCAGGTAGCAGCGTGAGTCAGAGTCGCTCATGGAGTGGTGCTAAACAGACGTTGAGAGCCAGTATAGCTATTCACAACGCTGTCACCTCCAACAACTAGTCGCACGTCCGCATTCTAAGTTCGTAAAAAAAGAATTGTCATGTCAGTTGCCGAGGGAAACTCACGACCGTCACTAACACTCTGTAACTCCAATGCCTGCCGCGTGATAATCAAGAAAGGGCTGAAGGACCCACCCCAGAATGTAGCATTGTACAGCTTTGTGGATGATGAAATGGCAAAGATAGTGCAGTGCTACTACCTACTGTGACCTTCTGTTCTGGGTCATACACCCCTCTATACGGATACAAGGAATAGGGATGTGACCCATCTTCAGATCTTCAGAGGATGATGCGTTGTAGAGATTTCTCCATGCAAAGTCATGCAGATTATTGCATGCTTTTTCGGCAAACCATTCCTGAAGACGGTCACTGGTGAATGGATGGGCAAGATAGGGCTAGTCGGCCGGCTAGCTGAGCAAAACGCTCCAAAGGTGCCCTCATGGGACAACGGAAAGTGCCGTAGACGAGATCCAGGCCAGCTGGGGAAGGATGTGCAAGGAAACCATGCACGGGAGATGGGGACCTACGTACTCACCGGAGCAGAATGTTCCATTGCCCATGTATCCAGTGTTACATTCACATGCGTATGAACCCACAGTGTCCATACAGGTAGCATTGCCATGACATTGGTACTTACCTGATACACATTCATCAGCATCTGATGGATAGGAAACATACATGGTTCCGTGTTACAATGTGCTTCGCAAAGTCCAGAACATTTTTTAATAGACAAATTTGACTACAGAAAGAATGAAAAAGAGTGTGAGAGAGAGAGAGAGACAGAGGGAGAGAGAGAGAGAGAGAGAGAGACATGGCCAGCAATCGAGGACATCTGAGAGTCGTAATTTTTGTACTCCTCCGAGGTGTGATTTTTGGCGTGCTGGGCCAAGCACAAGGAAGCCAGCCGCAAAAAAACTGCAGAAAATGGTTGTTCTTTGATCCTTTGATGTAATCTTTGTTTCTAGTCGAAGCTAGTTGCTGTTTGGAGCAGAAACGCTGAAATTGACTATTTTCTGCATGTACTCATACATGTACTCATGTACTCAGTCATGCAGTCTCACTCGTATTTTAGCTCTTTTTCTGGAATGGATGCTGCTCTGCGCCCCTTGGTGAACATTTCCTGCGCTCGCGGAGCAGCTGAAAAGGACCACTGGTATGTCTGGTTCCTGGTTTGAAAGTGGAGAGTCGACTTTTGTGCCTTGAAAAAGGAGTAGAGAGCGATAAAGGTACGTCTGTGGCTTATTTTTGAGTGCTCCTCGTACATTTTTGATCGTGATAGAAATTCTCAGACCAAAGTCAGACCAAAGTCAGCGCGATGATGGCCGTACAGTTTTCTTGTGGATTTTTTAGTTGTTTCATCTCGTATCTATGTCAGTATCGTGGTGGTGAAGTGGAGAGGGTGATTTTCTTCCTCTAGGCTTCGTTCGGCCGACTTTGCTTCGTCCTCGTTGAAAAGTGATCCTGAAAAAAAGGTCGATTCGCAAAATTATGTTGATTTTGAATGTACGTGATGACATGCGATTGCTGGCTATGGATAGAGAGAGAGAGAGACAGAGAGAGAGAGAGACAGAGAGAGAGAGAGAGAGAGAGAGAGAGAGAGAGAGAGAGAGAGAGAGAGAGAGAGAGAGAGAGAGAGAGAGAGAGAGAGAGAGAGAGAGAGAGAGAGAGAGACAGACAGAGAGAGAGAGACAGAGAGAGAGACAGAGAGAGAGAGAGAGAGAGAGAGAGAAATGGATAGATAGATAGAGAAAAACCGAGAGAGAGAATGAGATAGATAGATTATGCAGAGCTCACTGACTTGTCAGTTTGAGCACTCTGGAAAGGTACGTTCGGGCCTGGTATCAGGTTTGGCCTCATTTCCTCTGTGCTGTGCTGATGAGTCCACAAAGGTCGAAACAGTTCTGTCCGCAGATTGAGTAGATAGATAGATAGATACAAGTAGATAGATAGATAGAGAGGGAGAGAGGGAGGGAGGTAGAGAGAGAGAGACAGAGAGAGACGCGTCCTCATGCGGCACAGTGACAAACTCAATGTGACATTGTTACTCACTGCTCTGACTGCCTACAATCGATTGATTGATCGTTCTAACCTGCAAACAAATACTTCAAGATCGACTTCGTCTTTGACTTCATTGCCTTCACAATCGATCATGGTCACGTTTTCCTTGAGTAACTTCGACGTCACATTGATGAAAGTTAAAATCAGATCCTAAGGTACATTCAGTCAGTCGACTGCTCATGTATATCTTCCTGTTCAGCGGTGTATATGAAATTGGTGTTAATCAAGTCTGCAGGATGTGCGAGCTTCAGTGAGCAAGTATCTCACTTCCTAACTGCCTATTATCTTGTTACGTTAGTGGACAGTCGTCAGGCGCAATAGCACGTCATAGTACATTCGAGATCAGCGGGAAGAAGATGACGACGTCCACTAATTTAGTATCTGTGCACACGAATCTGCTGTGTGTGTTACTCTGTGTGTCAGCTATGGCATCATCGCCTGTGGTTCCAAGCCTAGCATGTACGTCTGAACCATCCTGCAAAGTTTGAATGACGTAGGTTGAGCGATCGCTCCGCGAAACATACTTTTTGAAATTCTCTTCATAGTATATCTTCCACCATTGAAATTTCGAATTTCTGCAAATTTTGTGCTGAGAGGGGTGGCTTGCAACCTCGATATGGCTTGTTCCAGGCATGCTTTGGAGCCATCGCCTGTTGAAGCAGTGGCTGGAAGCTGCCCTGCAACTGTTCCAACAGGAAATTAATCGATCCGAGAAAGCGCGAGTCCGCGAAACTTGGTTGAATATTGAGTATTTCAAGCCTTTTCACGACGAAGATGTATTTCTTTTTGGAGATGGACGTCGCGGCAAAGGACATGGTGTCCGACTTCTGGCGTCTGGTGAAGCCAGGGATCATTTGTCCAGTCAGGTCGGCAGCCTAACCGTCGGTAAGCTTGTGTTTGGATCCCGTTCTGCTCGATGTGGTAGATCACAAACAATTTGATATCGCACAAATTGATCTCAGCATCGTGCGTACGGTATTTTATATTCAGAAAATCCCAAAGTGTCTCTGTGTGGCCGTCCTATGCCACGAGAAACTCCAATCAGGCTCCTATATCCTCTGCCTTCCTGATTGAATGTCCACTTCGTTTGAACAACGAACACAACAATCGAGGACGGCTTTGCAATGAAAAATACAGCTATACTGGAGCTGAAAAAAAGAAGAAAAAAACGTGCTCAGGATGAGACTCGAGTACACGCATACTATACTCAGCAGGTGAAACGCAAAATTTTGTGAAAAATGCGTGTCGCCGACTGACCAGTAATTTCGCCTGACGGTTATTCATCACTGGTACCTTTTTGTACGTTCTTATGTTTACAACTACCCTGACAAAACACATTACGTCATCACTGATAGAGAGAATTCCATGACTTACTTGAGCAGTGACTTCCATTTCCCATATACCCAGCATTACACGTGCACGTGTATGAACCAACAGTGTCCACGCATGTCGCATTGCCATCACACTGGTGCTTGCCAGTCAGACATTCATTAGCATCTAAGGCAGGAACAGTATGTGCAAGAAAAGCCCCATAGAATGAACCATTTTGAGTGTGAATAGCAAAGCAAAAATCTCCGGCAGAAAATACTTAAAAAATTGAACATTTGACCAAGTCACTTGCTGTGGCTCCCAGTGCAACGCTGAGGTGAGCTACAGTACATAAATATTTCTGTGGACTGAATTGATACCAGAATTAAATTAGAATACGCAATGGAGGACTCCAATGCACTTGTTTGTATTGATGATTTGTTAGTCATGTCTTTTCAGAAAAGCTCTCTAAGCAACAAAGTAACACTCTGGCACAGAGTAGGCCAGAGCAGGCCAGGACAGGGCAGGGTAGGGCAGGGCAGGGCAGGGTAGGGTAGGGCAGGGCAGGAGGGTAGGGCAGGGCAAGGCAGGGCAGGGGAGGCAAGGCAGAACATGGAGGAGAAGGACAGAGCAGGGCAGGGCAAGGCAGGGTAGAGCAGGGAAGGGCAGGGGAGTACAGGGTAGAGCAGGGCAGGGTGACGTAGGGCAGGGCAGAGCGGGGCAGGACAGGGGGGGGGGGGCAAAGCAAGGGAGGGCAGGGCAGGGCAGGTTAGGTGGTATCCACTGCATTTTGCGTCAACCAATGTCATAAGGTGGACACAGCTCTTCCCGATAGGTCACACTGGTAATGCAAAAGCTCATGTAATAAAGTGCTCTGATTGCCTGATGCCATGGGGGCATTCAGCTGATATGCCACTTCATAGTAACTTACTGGAGCAGATAGTGCCAATTCCCTCATAGCCAACATTACAGTTACAATTGTATGAACCCACTGAGTTTGCACATGTAGCATTGCCAGCACAACTATGTAATCCAATGCTACATTCATCAGTATCTGGAAATGAAGTGAGAGAAAATCATGTTAATGCATGAAGATGCCCCTACTCAGCAGCTTCAGGGTAAAGGCCAAATTTGAATTTTATGGAATAAACAGAGCAACCGAGGTAAAGCAAAATGCAACCAGGTTGTTTCACACATATGAATGAACAGAGAATGTATGTGAAGATGAAAACCATGACATTGAATGGATTTTCTAGATATGGAGAAGGGATGCAACAGGCTGTTGCTGTTACTCGAGTATCACACACACACACACACACACACACATGCTTTCCATCATCTGACAGACAGCAGACATCAAAAAAGGCTTGCCTGTGCATGGTCAATTCGTCTGCAAAGATTGTTTGAACAAGTATTGGCACTTGAAAATACTGCCATTCCGGCAACAGGCTCTCAGCTGCACCAAATAGATAACTAATGTCTTTGTCAATATTTCGCCCATTGGGCACATCATCAGGGCATTGAGGAAAGGGAGGCAAAAACACGAAATATAAAGACTAATAATGCAGGCAGATGAATGTTCATCATATACCCTATAGAAATGCTGGTTATAGTTGGTTGCTCGTCTAAGTGAACCTGTTTACTAGCTTGTAACAAGCTACAGTGCTGCTCAGTGAAGTCCTGTAGCGTCATTCAAGTATGCGGCGCGGGGGCATTGCACACATACCCTAGACCTGGAAACACTGGGCTGTGAAATGGTGCAGGCGCAGACTTGAGTGATGCGACTGGACTTCATTGAGCAGCTTAGTACATTGTACAAGTAGGCCCTGTCTTATCACCTCTCTACTCTACTTGATCCACTGTTCTTGGTCCTCTGCTTTTGCCTGTATTTTGCCTGACTAGAAGGCTTGAAAGTATACTCATGAAATGTTTCAATAAATTGTTCAAGAGCCTGAAGTGTGTCCTTCTTTGTATTATTGCATTCTTGTTTCCAAGGAAACTGTCTTGCTGCTCTAAACAAACCATAACGGCTTACCTGAGCAGGTTTTCCCATTTCCTGTGTAACCAGCATTGCATCTACATGTGTATGAGCCAATATTGTCCACACATGTAGCATTAACATCGCATTGAAATGTCATCGCTAAACATTCATCAGAATCTGGAAATCAAAGGCACCCACGTACACATCATACAGGTTTTGTCTACATTCAACGAATTACCCCGTCATGTGTGCAATCGTAAAATTAATGTACAAACAAGAAAGTGGAAGGCTGTTGGTTTGCGCACTTGAGATGTGTTAGAGCTAGGTATCTGGTCGTTGAATGTCTCAGTAGCCTGTCAGTTGTGTGCCCTATTATCGCACTTTCTGACTGCTTATTATCCTGTTACAGTAGTGGACAGAAGCTCTGAACTTGTAACACATGTGCCCTTTCCTATATTTGCAATTACCCCGTCAAGGGAATAAAGGAGGCAAATTCCCTACCATAGAAATTATCAAGCTACTGTCGCGGCGAACAGACACATGCATCACACCAAGAAAGTAGCAATGTCGAGTTCACAGCAAGGACCACTAGGATTCGAGAAATAGAAAATCATAGCTCAGGTGGTTAGAGCATTGTTTTACAACAAGCAAGGTCACTGGTCAGGCTTCTGGTGGGGTTGCATTTATTGGCTTTTCAGGCAATTCACTCTCCGGACTGATCGTTTCGAAAGATTAGGAAACATTCGTGACCTACGCATGTGGGTGTGCTCTGATTGGCTGTTGCCATGGAAACATTCAGATCACATGCCACTCTACGATAACTTACTGGAGCAGAATGTACCATTTCCCATATAGCCAGAGTTACATTTACAATTGTATGAACCCACTGAGTTTGTACATGTAGCATCACTATGACATCGATGTACTCCACTGTTACATTCATCAGCATCTGAAAGTAGGGATAGCGATCACATATTTATAGTCAGAGTCAGAACAGATTAAAGCCCAAAAGCAATGGACCTAATGTTGGAGTTTGCAGACAATAAGAAAACAATGGAACCACTCGGAGAAAACCAGAAAGGATGGAAAATTTAATAAAAGTTGAAGTCGGGTAGTTCACTTCCCGCCTGATCCTTTGAAAAGAGTGAAGGTTGTTTTTAAAGAACATACGACAGTCCAGTTGCCTACATAGCTTATAATGTAAACTGGAAGGTGTGAAATTGGAAATCCGAACACCTACTAGAACACTTTGTTCTTGTTCTAGATAATGGCTCCAGTATGCACAGAGTGATGATTGAGCGACGAGATGTGAATTCACAATGCAAAAAACCAACTTTGCTTTAATGAATGCTTTCAGAACCATCGTGTTTGCAAGAGAAAAGAGTTTGATTGACTTCTAGCAAGCTTCCCGATTTTTTTCTTCAGATCTGAACAAACAATGTTCCTAACCTGAGCAGTTTCTTCCATTTCCTGTATACCCAGGATTGCAGCTACATGTGTATGAGCCCACTGAGTTTGTACATGAAGCATTGCCATTGCAATCATGTACTTCACTGCTACATTCGTTAGCATCTGAAAATGGTGCGGAAACAAGATTTTTTAGCATACAAGATATCGGCAACAGTGGTGATTTTTACAGGTAATATTACAAGAGGCTGTAGAGGTAGATAAAACAAACAAGATCGACAATAGTGGTGTTTTAAGCTAGCATTGAAAGTGAGCGCAGAGGTGCTAGTTGAATAGTGTTATATCCGTGACGTGGTCAATCTGGCACCGCTCGAACATCATCCACCTAGCACCTCTACAGGCACATGTAATGTTAACTTGTCACCCCGTACCGTCACCCCTTACCGTCACCCCTTACCGTCACCTCTTACCGTCACCCCTTACCGTCACCCCTTTTCACCCTGTTCTGCAAAGTGGAGGGTTCTTCGGACTGGTCTCAAGTACTAGTAAAGGCCAAAGCAATAAAAAACCAACTCCTTTTTCATGTTTTACTGCATTATATTCATCTTTGACCGTATCTCCATAAAACCGAAATGAATGCACGGAAATCATGCTGAAACACAGCCAGCTTTGAAAGCACTTTTCTCAGCTTGATGAACAGATCAGGATAGTTCCATTTCACTCGCAGTGGTCCATATGCACTTATATGAGACCTCATATGATTTTTCCTTGGCGTGTGAACCCTTGCTTTCTGAAATAGTCAGAGGAATAAAACAATACTTTCTGAATTCAGGCAGCACCTTTATCATACAGATTGGTTTCAGAGTCCAGAGTTCTGGGAAACCGCAAGTGATACAGACGAAACGGAGCTAGAAAGTTCTGGTGTAACACTATAGCTAGTCGACTAATGGAGCAATTTAGATCTAGCAACGTCCATGCTGATTAGTGAAACCATACTGATAACTCACATTGCAACACGTGACCAAGAGCAAAAGTCCTTGTTTTGTGAATGTGTCTGACTAGCACACACTCATCAAATTCTTAGTGTGTGTGTGTGTGTGTGTGTGTCCTTTTTCCTTGCAGGCACTTCATGTTGTGACTCTGAGGTGTATTGTGCCATCCCTGCTGAAACAAGGCAGCTAGTGACAATGACTCAACCAGGCAATGCTGACCTCTACCTGATGCTCATATGGAAAGCCTAAAACGTGTATTGTTTGTTATAAATAGAGGCAGCACGTGAGCAAACAATTGGATGATGCTCAACCTTGTGGTGGCTAGATAATGTTTTTGCTAATAAACTAGAAGAACAATGCCTTAGTATTATCCTTGACTTGTAACCTTATGCCATTCATCTAACAATACCTGCTGCAACCCATCAAATATGCAAAATATGTCTAAATCGCAATTTCCTGTGTCAAATATCAAATGTTGTAGTAGAAAAGAAGTCCGTGACCCCTTTTTCGTGTTTTTTTTTATGCTATTCCCCGCACGTTTTGGTAATTGAAACATGAGTATTTATCAGGTTGGGGCATCTGACCATCTGTTTTGATCACTTAGATCGTTGGTTTCGTATCTGCTAAATTAGCCCTAAAACCCTTCATTGTGGCTCAGTTTGATTCAGATAAAGTGCAATATGTTCATAGTAGACCCCTTTATGATCTGTGAAGTGAAAAATGCAAAGTATGATGGTTCTTGTGGAGTTAGAGACCAATATCGGAGCAAAAATAAACTAAAATATTGAAGAAAAGTTTGGCGCGACTTCGGCGATAACATTTAGAGGTTACGAATGAGTTCGGTGATGCCCTCCTTTTCTTCGAGAATTGTGCTCCTTATACATTTTTTGTTTGATTCAGCCTCTCTTTGGTCAGAAATGATATAAGTGCGAGCCCCGTTTAAATAGAACATTTATTATTGTCAGAAAATAGTGTGAACACAGTCTAGTGTAGCTAGGATTCTGGTCCTTACTCCGCCACACATCCAGCTTGCGACCTCAGGCTACATCACCGAGCAACCAAGCCGAGAATTGAGGCATCATCGAGTCTTTGCCCTCCCCACCACCCAATCCACCCGCCTTCAACGTTCACCCTTGTACTCCGCATGCACTCAGTACAACACCTGCCACCACACTGTTACTCCTTCCGAGAAATAAATTCATTCAAAAGAGAAGTTACCCCGATCATAGTATCATCAATTTGCACATGCTCCAACCCCGCTGTAGCCCAGCCTAGGTATAATTATTTGAATCAAGCTCGATCGCATACCTGCCTTCGCAATGGATATACTTCCTTCTTTGTCCTTAGGCCGCGGTCACACCAAACAAGCCGTTTCCCGCTTGCGCTGAAAGTGGCTTGTGCTGAATGGGGCGGTTGGTCACACCACTTCGCGAAATCGGCTGGATTTTTTTGTGTGCTAGAGTTTTTTCCTTCCTGCTCATTTTTGAATATGATTTTCTCTTGTTTTCCCGTCCGCCTTCTCCAGCACACTTCTTCAGTTTGTCCAAGATTCACGCTCTCTTTCTGGTATTTTTTTGATAGTGGTCTCATACTTGGTTTTTGTTTCAAGCCAAAGCTCCAGTAGTCGCCGCTCCAGTGCTACTGTCCAGGATTCCATGATGGCCGACAAAAAGGCAAGGAGAGAAGTTTCACCAACAACGAAAGCCGGAAGGTGGCAGAACACGATGCAAGCGCTGCAAGATCATGCCAAGATGCGCTTTGAACGAGTTTATTTTTCCCGCCACTGCGCCAGAATGGCTGAAAGTGGCTGAATCCATTCAGCGCTCCCATTCAGCGCTTTGAAAACGGCTGACTGCTGAAAAAGGCTGAAGCCGAAAATTCAGCCGTTTCCGTAGCGACGATGACGTCAAAAAGCGCTTTTTTCCGCTGAATGGCTGAATCGCGCTTGGTGTGACCGCGGCCTTACTCAAATGAAGCACCCAAACCACGGCTGCCACTAGCCACTGTTTCTCCCAGTTTATTGCACCCACTCTGATTGATAACACACAGTGCTGTCTCTGTCTTATTGGCTACGGCCATCGTGAGAATAAAGATAATAATCTTACACCGCCGTTAGTATATGAACGTCTCAGGAACATAAGCTGCAAGACGGTTCAGCTCCATTGCGTCAGTGTTCAGCTTCGAACGCATACAATGACTTACCCGAGCAGCGTTTTCCATTTCCCGTATACCCGACATTACACATGCATGTGTATGAACCAACAGTGTCTATGCATGTAGCATTACCATCGCATTGGTTCACACCTAGACATTCGTTGGCATCTGTAAATATAAAATAGAGATGGCTTATGTAGAGATTGCGACTCTTACTATAATGTACGATAACGAATGCATTACCTCTAGCAGAGTTTTGTCAAAGTTTATCAGTTCTATTGGGAAAATGAAAAGTCAAGAAAAAGACTGCCAGTTCTCGTTAAGTACAGGAACTTGATTCGTAAAAACTCGGATGTTGAGCCAATAGTAATAACGTAAAGAGAAAAGGACCTATAAGTTACTAGTTACATGTATGTCCCTTTCCCGCATCGAAACCTTCTGCACCTGAGCCTTTCAAATAGGAAGGTTGTTGGGTTGCGCTTCGTAGATGTGTTGGAAGTAGGTGCGAGGTTGTCGATTGTCTTAATATCCTTGTCAGTTGTGTGCCTTCTTGTCACACTATCTGACTGTATAATTATTATCCCGTTGCCTTGGTGGACCTTAGTCATAA